TCTTGTTTCTTATGTACATAATCGATATACGTATCACTATAAGATACTTACATATAAATGATCAGAAAATAGTATATAGCTACAAGCCTGAAGATCTGGACGAAAATATAGCATGGCTTCATGGTGACCCTGAAAACTTAACTACCTGGAGCTAAACGTGGCAGCTACCGTTTAATCACAACAAATGTGGCATCATGCATTTAAGTAAGCATCACCATGATATACTTACAAAAATGTAGGGTTCGGACACTTATGTCAGCTCAGTGCTTAATCTGGGTATTCACAACTCCAAAAGCTCGAAATTTGAAGAACTTGTTTCTTTTGTTATCTCTAAATCCAGACGGCTGATGGGGTTTATGAATAAGGACTTCTTGAATAATGAGGATAAGTTTACACTCTTAAAAATGCGTAAAAGGCTGTAACCTCAGTCTTTGGTTGGTTTGCGTTTAGTCAGGAGGTACCTTGTGTGCTAGGGGTATTTGAGGAGCAGCGTGTGAGATTATCTGGTATATTAAAAACAGGAGGAGATGAGCCGACGACTCAGTAAGCACATGGAATTCACTTACATGCAATAGAGTGATAAATAGACTGCAACCAGAAATAAAACCAGCGTGATATCAAGACAAACTGATAGACGAAACTAGTTGATAGAATAAGGTTCCGAAAGTGTTATAAGGCTCTCACTTGAATACTGCTCACATATCTTTCCAAACAGGAAATAGATTACGTCACTACAAATTTCATTGTGATGACTGACTCAAATTGCCTTGGTTGGTTTGACATTTTCATATAAATATTCATGTGTATTAGAGTAAAGCCAGATGACGTTCTAATCGAAAACAATATAATTTTGTTCAAACTTTCACAATGAATATCATAGACAAGATACGAGTAAAAAATGCCAAAGGAAGCTTCACATGGCGACTGCCAGGATATGACCCTAATCTCGACCACACAGAAAGTATGCAAACATCTTTCCCTAGAATCTCTATGGCGCCGTCAGTTGCGAAGCTAATGTTTTCTCATTTGTAAAATACCGCCTAATTATGAACTACGACACAGCTTACAGACTTAGAAACTACGCATATCCACTATTTATGGAAAAACGCAAAAATTCACTGCATTTTAATTTACTTGTCATTCGATACAGTCTATTGTGGAACGGGTTACCGATTACTATCCGTATCTGTGATATAATCACCAAGTTCAAGAAACTAGTAATGCTGTTAATAGACTGTAAGAAGATTCAAAGACTATTCGTGGGACTCACACCAAGTCCCGAAGCACTCTTTTATGGTCCACCAAATATTTAGATAAACCTTGTAGACTAATAAAAGTCCATGAACGTATTGTACCCGCACTACCATCCATACGGGTACCATAGAGTGATAGACGAATCCTCCTGGTCCTACTAACTGTAATAGGTTAGCATTTGAGGTGCTACTCTTGACATTTTGCCTTTTCTCTAAAGTTAAATACCAATCATCATTTTCGTACCTTCACAGCAGTTTTAGTTTTTATTTCTAGTAGACAGATAAATTGAAAAGCCTTTAGATGCTGATCAATTACTGTCAATTGCAAGGAGCTGAATCTTCCTGTATCATTGTGAGTTCCTTCTTCTTTAAGTTGTAGTGGAACACTTCTACTAAGAAAAAGCGATTGGTAACAAATTAACATTTATTATTGTACTGGTTTTGTTTAACTGTACCAAAAACACTTACTTGCGCGCAACGTTCTTTTACCTGTTGCCTCCATTCCATAAACTTTTGCTCAATGCAACGCCTACTTACACCTTCAAATAAATATTCGACTATGGATGTATTTCTACAATTTGTGGCTGGATAGTAATGAATATTTAGTGGTGATCATAGTCAATCTATAAATTAATAAATGTTTAATAAATTTTTATTTCCCCGATTCAATACCATCCAAACACCTTCTCTGCTTATCAAATTATCACTTTACTCAATAATTTTTACAACTATTTCAACCCTTTTTTCTCCAGCTCCCTATCCTTCCTATCAACAGACTACCTATTAAATGACACGTATCTTATAATTTATACCAATAGTTTACCTAAAATTAGTGTAATTCGTTAAGTAGATATTTTTTCCTACATACAGAAGACAAGGTTATCTGGTTCGCTTGTAACGTGGAGCTGGTAGAGAAAGTGTATTCCAACAGCGTGTATAAAAATAGAGCGTTGACTAAAAAACATGGTTTCAAATGTAGCATTAAACGTAAGAGAGCCTAACAGCACAAACGGAGGGAGGGTGGTGTATCTGACCAGCATTCATGACGGTGTATCCATAGCCTCAATCTACCCATGTCTGTGGGGCAGAACATTTTGTTTGCTTACGGCTCCTTAAGATATAGCAGGATGTAACAAATCAGTGATATTGATGTTACTTTACCTTGTTAACCTCGTCTACAACCCATGTCTGTAACTTTGCACTGGTTTTTACTTCCTATTACAAGCTGGTCTGGACAACTATACTAAAAAAGAGCTCATTCATAACTTCTTGAGCCTCAGAGTTAAAAATAAAAAGAATAAATGTAATAAAAACATTATATCACTGAGCCTCTTCATTATAATTTGTAAATCAACATTATTACTAACAAATTGGTTCTTCTGAATTTCCTCTATTCATTCGACTAACTTCCCATTAGTTATCTCACTACTGAATTGTCTTCATTAACCTACATTAGTGCAGGTGTTTAGTTTTTGTTATGATATTAAAAAAGTCTGAGTAAACATACCTTTGTTTTATCCATAAACGTATGTGCAAAGCCGTTGTTCGGCTTTGAACAAGAATATTTTATGTTCCGCTCCTCGTCCCGTTTTCTTTATTTCTCTTTTTTCAGAACCTTATTCCAATCCGGATATATTAGTCTGGATATTTGCAGTAGACTTGGTTACCCTACCAAAGAACATGTGAAATCATTAGCTGATGAATATCAACCAGACCTTTGTACATTTACAGCACTATACATTGCAGATTCTGTAACATTATTTATAGTTTAATGTGTAAGACTTTAGCTACCTACATGAAGCCAGTGTATCCTGTCAAATATATAAGTAACTGAACAACCTTTTACAGAAAATATTTTAGCGATTTTGAAATTTTGACCTTGCCTGCGAAATGGTATGCTTCTAGTAACTTGTAGTTAATTAAGAATAAATTATAATTATTTAGACTCATAAATGTCTAGTTCTCTGAGACTAAAGTACTGACTCAAACTTTATGATTTAACAACACAAGGTCCGAATGGAGAAGATATCATCAACCCAAAGAAGGTTGAGATCTTCAGCACAAACTTCACCGATCAGTTAAACAAGGTATCCACATGATCAGAGTGCTACTCAAACCCAGAGCAAGCTAACGGCTAAGAGAACATACGTATTACTACTTAGTGCTAAGGAAAGTAAAATCCTTACTCCTAGGACGGCCACCAGGATGTGACAATATTCGCACCTAAGTCTTGAAACAATCTGCAGAAGTCCTCTGTTCACCTATATGTGTTCTCTTCATGCATTAAGTGGAGTCACACCAAGTCCCAGCTGAATGGAAACAAGCTAATTTCTATCCAGTCTTCAAAGGAGGAGATAGGGAGGACCCAGCTTGTTACAGACCAGTCGCATTACTACAATTACTATCGAAGGTGATGGAAGGACTGGTTAATAAACAGATTAGGTCCACTTCTGTTCCTGATTTTCTTTAGCGATCTATTTGACAAGGTTAGCTCACGAGCAATGATCTACGCAGACGGTGGAAAGATTTTCAAGTTCATTAGAAGCGGAAAGTGAGTTCGACTGAAATCCGAAAGGCTGATATAATTCTTCAGCTTGTGAGAAGAAAAGTTACTGCTATAATCCCAGAAATACTCCTAACGTTGTTTAAGACATGTGCGCCCACACCTTCAGGTTCACAACATCGTCGTACCCTATCTCCCTAAAAGAGACATAAATCTCTTGGATAGAGTGCTGAGACGAGCAATGAAATGGGTGATAGGGTTGAAAGATAAAACTTACGAAGATAAAATCCAGCACTAGAGATCATTGAACCTCCCCCACAGGGGAATCAGATGTGACCCGATTATTGTGTACAACTTATTAGACATTCCAAACGACACCAACGTGAGCATATTACCGATGCATCACCGCCACTCTACTCGTTGTGATCCTCGAAAACTTGCGAATCAGAGATTGAACACTTAACTTCCTGAACACGTTTTCTCATTAAGATTTGTTGCAACTTGGAATGCTTTCAAGCCGAGGTGACCTCACCCCCTCTGCTGGCAGCTTTAAGAAGAGACTTTATATACACACACTCACATACCGATTATCATCACCCTCATGGACAAGCTGTGCCTAGTCCATGTCCTGAGACTTACTAGTCGTTATTATTGCCATTTCCTCAATTCACAAACTGAAACTATCTCACTTAATAACGCCGGCTGCTCTCCATGGCTTACATTCCAGTCCTTTCGCACTATCTTGACTACCAATTAATAATCTAAATAATCCATTTATTTACGAATGTCTGAAATCTTATTCTAACCCTTCTAATTCTCCACAGCGCACCTATCTAATCTCCGCCCTGGTAATATGATAGTTTCTGGTAGCCAGAAATCCTACTGCACTGAAACAAACGTATTCATTCAAATCAAGAACACTCAAACTCACAATCAACTGCAAACTGACTAGAATCAAACAGTCGACTGGTTAGACCCCAATCCATTGGACACTACCAGTTATCTTAAGACCAAGAAACGTGCGTAAAAAAATCAAGTGGTTCATAATAGCTCGTGAAATGGGTATTGGATATTGAACAGGGATAAGTGCAGTTTAATCGTTAGATTACCATACACTGTACTTTAGAAAAGTTCAGTAACTATACCGGGACAAAACGAGGCAAATGCGGGATAAAATAAATCAAGTTATATGAGCTAGTTTCAAAGAAGACGAATTGTTTTACTGGACCTCTTAATTACAAACCTTCAAGGTTACAGAAAGCAAATCCTTAACTTCTACTTCATTTGTTTGGTATTATTGAAGTTTGGGTGCAGACGCAGTACTGACGCCTAATATTCCCGTTACCTAAATATGAAACAAACAGTCCTTCAGTACTTTTTGTACGATGGAATGAACACAGAAGGCCAGTTATTTAGAATTAAGAAAAGTAATTTCTATATTTACACAACTTGTATTTTGGATAGATGACGTGGTTCATTTCGTTTTGGACGTATCTTTGATTGGTTACAATGTCCGATTTTTTATTAATTACCCTAATACTGGAGTTCCATTTCAACGGTTGCAATATCGGGAGCTTCCTTTGAATAATCCAACAATTACTGGCAATCAGTTGGATTGTTTTGATAATTTTTTCGAACTAAAAAAAATTAGTGTCTGCGGATCTTTCCACTTTTACTTTTCGAAGGATGGGTCTGCTCCTAGCCCTCCAACCAAAACATGTCTGAATGAGAGTATAGCTGGTTCGGGATACATTATCGTTGATCCTGATTTCACTGGTAGACAGGTTGTCTTAGGATCTTCAGCAAATAGCTTTGGGAAAAGTTGGGATTTAAGCGGTGTAGTTCTTCAGTCTTATTTATCTAAAAACCTTGGAATATTTCCTGAATGGGAATCGAGACTTCATACAGCCAGAAATGGTGGTTATAATATGATTCACTTTACTCCTCTTCAAGTTAGTGGCTTTTTATTTATTCGTTTGTTTTATATTTTTCTTTGAGTTCAAATTGTTTCGTCTTTAATTTGAATTTCAAAAATTTTCAGAATTATTTAAGGTAAATTAAGTGATGTTGTAAGCTAACAAACCAAACAGGACAATGGAAATCAACCGAAGATTATAAAGTGGTTCATGGTCATATACCACAAACCAAATATTATCAGTACATATCTTGTCTCAGAGTACCTTACATAAGTCATATTTATTAGTGATATCATTGGAAAACCTCCAATTGTAAATGCGTTTTATTGAAAGTAACCATCGAAAACAAGGAGAAATTAGTAGGTTACTTTGTCCTAGCGTTGAACTGCTCAGCAGTGTAAAACTACAACACTCTCCACCTGAAATTGAACTCAAGACCTTCGATCTTATACGCAAGTGCTCAGCTTGTAGACTACTGAAATTATTTAGTGATGTACAAATCTTTAATCGTTTCGTGATATTTAACGACAATCTTCCATCGTCTTTGGTGAGTACCTCTTACTTTCAACACCGTCAAACTCCACTAGGCTTCTGAAATCAGTAGTTCTACAATTAGTGTCATAGTATAGTGGCAAATAATTAGTTTTGATCTTACATCAATTCCAATATCGTTATCGTATCTGGCCTCCTGTTTTGTAGCACGTATATTCGGATGTTCAACTGCTGCGTTTTGTTCTAGTCAATCTCATTTCGCAGGCCTAGCTATGCTCCAGTTTGTTGTTTGTTCTTGAGCCTTTAGTAATATAGTATACATAATATACGAATTCCTCATCACTATCAATATAAACTCAATGCCTCCAATCAGTTTGAAATAACGAGCGAAAAAATTAAGTATGTTTCCAATTCTTACCTTATAGGTTCGAAACACTGCAACTGTGTTATTTTAGTTACTAATATGTCCATTAGCACTAACAGATAACCATTTGGAGGTGAATAAAATTAGACAATAAGGGTTTGACAAAAATGTTGATCTTTACATAGTGAAGTTCGTCATATGGACTCAAAGGTATTTAATACTGGTGAAATACATTCATCTTGTTTCGACAAAACAGTATATATATATGTATATATATATTTGTTTTTTAAATTTTTGCGATGAAATTTTTGGTAGTAAGCGGTTGCTTCAGAATATAAATACTCAATACTGTCTTAGTAATACTGACAGATAAGTTAAGTTTTATGATGGAGAGCAATTCAAATCCCGTAAATCAAACTAAAAACAGTTTGACTTGTAGTGTAGGTGTATGGATAATTCATAAAATGAGACGACTTAATTATTAGATTACTGTATATGAGTGTTCTAAATTTGTCTTTACATTTCAGGAACTTGGGTATTCTCGTTCTGCTTATTCTCTTAGAGATCAACTCGTAGTCAATCCTAGCTTTACTCCACCTGGGGCAGCAAAGAAAGTAGACTGGACAGATATTGAATGCTTTATTAAGCATTTGGAAAATAATTGGGCAGTACTTAGTATGACTGACTTAGTCTTCAATCATACATCAAATGATAGCCCATGGGTTCACGAACATCCTGAATCTGCTTATAATGTTGTTAACTCGCCTCATTTGGTTCCAGCTTATATCTTGGATCACATTGTGTGGAGTCTAACAAAAAAGGCCAGTACTGGATCACTTGCAAGTCAAGGTATACCGCCAATCCTAAGCAATCCAGATAGTGAGCTTCCAGCTATAGAAATATGGCTGACCCAGAATATAGAAGCAGCTAAGCTATATGAGTTTTTCATGGCAGATATTGATGTGGTTGTACAAGAATTCATTTCTTGGTTGAGTAAGTTTTCAAAGTATTTTACCTATTTTGTTTTCATCTGTCAGTATTTCTTGCAAATGGTTTTTGCTAAAAACCTCAGTGAAGTATAAGAGTGGATTAAATTTGACAGCACCATAGGCGCCGCTACTTTAAAGCAATAATGATTACGTATTGCCGCATATTTTGTGGTTATAAAGGATTCGTCGAAGTACATTTCCAGTGAATACATGAGAATGAATACAAAAACATGTTAATTCAAAGTGATAATGTAATTTTACTGTGGATATGAGTCAGCTGTCATTATCAACAGAGAATCTAGGACAAATATATGTCGACTCAAGTTATCATACCATATTAGCACAACGAGATGAAAAATATAATCTACCTACTTCGCTCAATGAAGACTCATTACCTCACCAACTAACCAGTGAACATAAGGAATGGATTGTTATATAATGATTCAACTTGTATTCTTACCTGTAACATAGATTTGATGAGACTGTATTTTGTGATAATCTGAGTATACAATCCACATCAGTGAGGTAGCGTGGTCGGTTTTTATTAAGTTTTATTTCCTTATTAACTAACGCAAATCAAGTCTGTGAATAAGCGAGATATATACAGTCATCGTATAGTAATAATAGAGTCAGACGGCAAGCATTAGGAGTAGGATACAGTAAAAAGCTAAACATTAGAATTATCCTTGAAAAAAATCTAGTGAGATCGAGGAATAAGAAGTGTGGGTATCGTGAATATTCCAACCATTATTATAATGAAAAAGCATTCTAACTCTAGAGAATTCGGTTCAATTGCTTTAAAATCATTCGACGAGATGAAGTTTTTTGTGTAATGGGTTTGAAATCTACAGTAAAGCTTTTTAGCGTTGATTATATTCAGTTTGCATGTATACAGTTTGTTGGCTTTTGTTGGTAGAACAAAATTCTATTTGTCGTGCAAATTACGAGGTTTGAAAATTGTTTTTAAAGTTATATTGGGTGTTTGTTTAGAACTCTAATGCTTAACGACATTCTCTGGTTTCTATATTTGGGGATAGTTGTCTATACTTCATAAACTTCCAAATGGCTAGTGTTAGGTAGTTCAACATATATGTCACTTATTCTTTTACCGATTTTCCTCCTCGTTTCTGATGAACATTTCACATTCTTAAAATCGCCTTAAATAGTGGTTTAGTCGTATTTCATGAGGATGTTTAAATCGATATGAATAAACAGACAAGTATATTCTAAAATTTACTAACATTATGTTTTTTCTTTAGATTTAATCATTTATTTGTTCAACTTTTAGGAAAAGATGCTACCATTTCTTCACCTATTTCTCAAAATGACACAAACTTATTGCTGATAATTGACGGGCCCAGAAAAGGAAGGCGATTTGGGGCTACTGTTGACTTTTCAATAGCATATCATGAAATTGTGGGTAAAAATGACAATGAACGTCCTCTTTCTCAAAATGAAGCTGAAGCCGCTGGTGAAAAGTTGAGAACCAGATTACTATCTCTAAACTATGACAAAGTTAATGAAATCAACAATCATCTAAAAACTGCCGTGGGCAATGTTTTGGCAAATGCTCGTTATCGATTTTATGACCCTTATGGACTTAAGCTTAAGGAAGTTACATTAGATACACCAATTATGTGGGCGTAAGTATATTTAACATATTTCTGTAATTGTACATGTATTTATATGTGTATGAATTAAAATATATGAGCAGTTTTGTCTAACGTAATGGTTTATCATAAGATTGACATATAAATCGTTTGTTAATTTATCGTACTCTTGTTAATCCTCCCATTATTCAACCTTGTCTTCAAATAATACAATTTTATTAAGTAACTACTCTCAAAACCCATAATCATAAGCTAGTTACCTAATTTTGCTTAATATATCATTTATCTTCATTAAAACTTGTCCTAGTCTCTCTTGTTCTATCAATATTTTCCAACTTCTTGGAATCAAATTTATTAAACGTTTCAAATTTTTAGGTTTTTACTAACTTTTAAGATAGAAAGTTTATTACACTATAATAATTAAACTTTCAGTTCGATCTAAACTACTTTGACTCATTGAAGGTAAAATGGCTAGTGGCACATTTAGTGTTAAATGATGAAATCTTATTTCTTTTCAGTCACCGTCCATGCATTTAACTCACTGATACTTAACATCAGGGTCAATTTCAATATGTTGCTTTAAAGAGATTTTTCTGATTAAGCATTACTGTCTGAATTCTGTCACTCTGGAATCCATCAACACTTGTGCATCTCTTTAACCTTGTATTCAAAGCTTTAGGAAATCTGAAGCGAGGGCGAGCTGCGGGTCCTGATAGACTGACCCCTGAGATATTTAAGGATGGCGGTCCAGTTTCAGCAGCTAGATTGACTGAGATCTTAGGTAGCATCTGGTAACTGGACGTTATCCCATCCGAGTGGTCTCAATCACTGATTGTCCCGATCTATAAGAAAGTACAAAAGTCTTCTTGTGACAATCACAGGGGAATAAGTTTAACTAATATAGTCTCTGAATTTTTAGCCTCGAAAATCCTTAGGCGCCTTTCTAGAGCTCGTGAAGAACGGACTAGAGAAAACCAGGCTGGTTTTCGACCTGGAAGTGGCTGTATAGACCACATTTTCACACTACGACGGGTTCTGGAACACAGACACACATTTAGGCGTCTTACAATAGTCGTCTTTCTGGACCTAAAGGCGGCATTTGAATCGTGAAGCACGTTAACCTCATACAACCTTTCTACTCGAACACCACTGGTCGAATGAGAGCTTATGGCGAACTGTCACCGGAATTCTTCACTTCAAGTGGTGTCCGTCAGAGATGTCCACTCTCTCCATCGTTGTTTAGTTTTATCATAGACATGCTCCTAGAAATAACCCTATCCTCGCCCGACTTTTCAGGAATAGACCTTCTACCAGGTGGCTCGCTTATTGACTTAGAATATGCCGATGACATAGTCCTACTTGGTGAAGACGCTAACAAAATGCGGTCTTCTGACTACCCTGAGCAACAATGCAAGCACGTTCGGGATGCGGTCCTCCCCCTCGAAATGCAAAATGTTGCTTCAAGATTAGGTTGCATCGGCACCTGAACTAGTGATAGGGAGTGAAGTAGTCGAGCGTGTAGACCGCTTCTCTTATCTGGGGAGTCTCATCAGTGCTGATGCTCTGGTGACTGACGAAATCTCAGCACGCATACAGAAGGCTCGATTGGCTTTTGCCAACCTGCGTCACTTATGGCGTAGGCGAGATATCCGTTTTCTGACTAAAGGACGAGTATACTGCGCAGTAGTTCACTCCGTCTTACTTTATGGCTATGAAACATGGCCAGTGAGAGTAGAAGATATTCGTAGGTTACTGGTTTTCGATCATAGATGTCTTAGAAGCATTGCTCGTATATCGTGGGACACCCGAGTGAGCAATGCTGTTATTAGGAAACGGGTGCTAGGTAAGAATGGTAGATCAATAGATGAATTGGTGAAACTTCATCAGTTGAGGTGGTTGGGACATGTGTTACGTATGGCTAACCACCGACTGCCGCAACAAGCTATGTTTTGTGGTATAGGAGTAGGTTGGAAAAAAGCTAGGGGCGGCCAAACCGAAACATGGCAGAAATCCATGAAGTCATTGGCAAGTGGACTGAGTCATGTCGGTAGTTGTCGACTACCTGGTTGGGGTCCACGAGATGTTAGTAATCGATGGTTAGAGACCCTGAATGACATGGCTCAAAACCCGTTTGCAATGGCGCAGGTGCATTTATGTTTTGTGTTCTTTCAAATCTTAATCTTCTGGACTGTTCAAAACCTCTAGTTTTTACTTTCTAAACTTTTCTCACTGAATCATACTTCTTGAATAATATCTTCTAATCCTAACCTCTCCGATTACTTCTAATACCTTTACTACCTCTTCTACTATTGGATTTGAATTGACAATTATGTCTTTGTGCTGATGTGGTATGGCAACCTAAACTGATGTACTTACGTACGAAGTTCTACGTTGCATCTGACTCTCACTCTGACTCCGGCGGCAGGACCTCGCGTGACCGGCCTCAAGCAGTGGTCTCTTGGGCTTTGATGTCACACTCCTAGGTCTCTAAGACCAACGCTAATCCAACTTCTTTTTCAAGTTACTCAACTAACACCTTTCCCCGGTATGGGCAACCGAAAAATAATATCCGTCCTCATACTCGTGACAGCAAACGAGGCCTAGTCGGTCAAATTTATATCCCTCGTATACATCATGAGGTAGCTTGCAATGATATGCAAAAAGCTGTGAAGACAGCAATGATATCTGCTAGTAAGGTAAACCATAACGTGAGGAAGGAGCCATGAATCTCACTGATACCTGCTGAATTGAAAAATGCTCGGAAACTCATATACAGACCAAATATTCACTCTTCGTCAGCTTCTGGAAGATAGCTACACATTTTGGCGGCCGACAACAGCTTTATTTCTTGAACTTGAAAGGTGTACCAGAGAATTAGGTTAAGCTTATACTGGCTCGCTACGCGAATAACACTAGTAGAACGAGAGCTTACAGCGAACGGTCAACTGTAACGTAGACGTAATCTGATCCACTGTCAGAGGTGTATAATCATCGAAACCTCGGCAAATTTCATGTTTCACAGTAAATGACCACCATGATTACTGGGTTGTTGAGTATTATTTTGTTGTAATGGTAATGTTTAGATGAGAACAAAAACATGAATCACAGTTCCAACCCTTCTCTGTAGATTGATAAGGTAACATAGCAGCATTTTAGCATGCTGAAAAGCTGTTTAGTTTATAAGTTTATTATTAATGCACTATCCATGATGGTACTTAAGAATACACAAAACCCAAAGTTTGTATACACCAATATGTTAAATTTGTCACTTTATTTCACAAAATTCGATCACGATCTATAAAAACGACAAAAGTCCTCTTGTGACAATCGAAGAGGAGTCAGTTTGACTAATACAGTGTCTAAAATGTTAGCCTCGATAATACTTCGACGCCTAACTAGGGCTCGCGAAGAGCAGACTCGAGAAAACTGCGCCGGCTGTATAGACCACATATTCAGACTACGACAGGTCGCAGAAAAAAGACACATTTCGGCGTCCGACTATGGTTGTATTCCTTGACCTTGAGGCGGCATTTGACTCTGTCAATCGTGAGGTTCTATGGCAGTGTCTGTCATTGGAAGGTGTACCAGAGAATTACGTTAAGCTTATACTGGCTCGCTACGCAAACAACACCGGTCAAATGAGAGCTTATGGCGAACTGTCGTCGGAATTGCTTACTTCAAGTGGTGTTCATCAGAACTGCCCACTTTCTCCATTCTTGTTTAACTTTTTCATTGACGTGCTTTTGCATGTGACACTTTCCTCGTCTGACTTCTGACGAGTTGAGCTTATACTGGGAGATTCGCTTGTTGACTTAGAATATGCCGATGACATAGTTCTATTCAGTGAAGACGCCGACAAAATGCAGCCTTCCGACCACCCTTAGGCAACAATGCAAGCATATTCGGGATGCGGTTTTCCCCCTTGAAATGCAAAATGTTGCTTCTGGTTTGTGTTGCATCGACACCTGAGCTAGTGATAGGGAGTGAAGCAGTTGAGCGTGTCGACTGCTTCCATTATTGTGGCAGTCTCATCAGTGTTGATGGCCTGTTGTGTCGGGAAATCTCAGCGCGGTTACAGAAGGCTCTACTGGTTTTTGCCAACTTGGGTCATATATCTGTTCCCTTTTTCTATATTTCACACATCATTTCATCACATTGTTTTCAAAAGAATTTCGTAATTTGTCAACACCTACTTTCACGTATTTGTTTTATCTACTGTTGTTTTTGTGATATTTAACAATTTCAAAATGTTGGTAGATTTTCGAGATAAGTTTAAGTAAAATATGTCGATTTTTATTTCAGTAAGTAGATTAGAAGAAAAGAAAATTAAATGATCAAATATGCTTTCTGTACTTAGAATTGCACCGATGTATTTTCACATACTTATTCATGACACTTATCGAGTAATCAACAAGCTTCCTATTTTTATATTTGAAAATATTAGTACTTTAGTTGTGAAGTCTAGTTATTTAAATATTACTATGGGAACTATGTATCCGATTGGTTTTGAAATTCAGGAACCTGTTATATGCTCATGTAAGAAGCTTTTATTTTCATAATGTTGAAGCGTTACTGATATTACTTTCATTTGTTAGCCCCCGGAAATGCGACGAAATTGGAACCCTATGATTGCTAGTCTGAAAGTCATATTCCTGGGAAACTGAGCTGCATTGATGATATCTTAAATGTAAAATTTACCTGTTATTTCACCCAAAGCTTGGTATTTGTCTAACATTTGCCGATGAAACTAATCAAGGTACATTAGTGGTTTTAAATTATTGTGGTAGCAGTACACTATATCACTGTTGATCATCCTTTTCTTAAATGATTGGTTGCAGCAGAAAGAAAAATGTTTACATAAGTCATGTTTTTTTCTTACTGTGAATGGTGTTAGACAGCATCTATTCTTTTTAAATCTATCGTCATTAAAATAATTTTGTTACTTTCTTAACAGGTACTTTTATCATCCAGTCCCGGATGTAGAAACTGTTGAAGAAGCTGAAGCAGTTCTGGAAACCAAAGATGCCGCAAAAATTATGGCTTTTAATGGATGGGTGATGAATGATGATCCTTTGAGAAACTTTGCAGAACCTAGCTCTTTTGTGTACTTACGCCGTGAACTTATAGTCTGGGGAGACTCAGTAAAGTTGCGGTAATTTTTGTCCTATTTTTATTTTCACCGCATAAAATGGTATGCATGTATGTTTTTAAAAGCATTAATTTTCATCTAGTCCTTTTCATAATGACTAATTTGTCATTTAATTCAGTTTTTTGTGTAAGCAACTATATATTCGCAGACCAGTTAACATTAGGAGTTAGTAATTCACTAAAGACCATAACGGTAAGGCCATATTTCAGTTGGTGCCATATAATTCATCATATGTGTAACATGGTTCAGTATTCAGCACATCTTAATTTCCAATATCACTTCATACCGTTTATTCCCTTATTTCACTTTTTCGGACGATATTTACTGTATTTGTTATTTTCTACTACAATTGATACCTGAATTACTTCGACTGACTTGCTGCTAATCTTTATGATTTCCTTTCTGTGTCAAGGTGTGACAATTTGAACCGATGGACATTTACGTCAGCTTCTACATTGATCACGACTGTCTGACTCCGTTTTGAAAAAGCCTCATGTTTAACTGTATCCATGATTCTTCGAGGCTCTAGTTATTACTTTTGATTTTTGCGACAGAAATCAGTCTTTCTGTTTTGCGTCTAAAATCTATTTATTGATAACACTTCAAACATGATGAAAATAAAAGCACTGGTTACTGTACAATGATCACACCATGTGAATATATTATATTGCTTAAAATGAACTGCTGAAAATAAATCTATTGTCCAGTACACTTGATATGACTGGTGATGTCAGACATGATCAATGGTTTCACAGAAAGCTAATTCTAAGCATTTTTAGTTACTTCAACATAAATTAAAGTAACGTTTTTGTGTTTACCTGTTCAGTATTTTCGTTTCATCAACTTCATCGTAAATTTCGGTACTTTCTAAAAAAACTTTAGTTATGGCGATAAGCCAGAAGATAGTCCATATCTTTGGGATAGAATGACTAAATACACGGAGTTGACGGCAAGAATATTTCACGCAGTACGATTGGATAATTGTCATAGTACACCTCTTCATGTGGCTCAGTACATGATTGACAAAGCAAGAGCTATACGGCCTAATTTATATGTGGTTGCAGAATTATTTACTGGAGGCGAATATGTTGATAACATTTTCATCAATAAATTAGGTCTTAGCTCTTTGATACGAGGTAAGGTTTGTTGAAGTGATAATGGTAGCTTTTTATTTCACTTTTATTGTTGTAGTGTATTACGTTGCATGTGTTGCTGATTAACTTACTATAACTGTGTGTAATTGTCAAATCAACCATTATATTCAATTTAAAATGGCAAAATCAGTTGCCAGAAATGAGCGAATAGACTGATCTACTCTGTCCTAATCAGTTTACTAATCAAAAAATGGAATACAAATAACTAATCCAAGACAACAGAATAGTAAACGTTTCACGGTATCCAACAACATCCATCCTAAACATGAATTTTCCGTTTGCTGATCATCAAATACCCACTAAGATAGGACCGTCATTAGGTTTTGTTACAACTCACATCTGATAACATTTCAAACCGTGGAGTTACACCATCTATAAGACCCCAACGAACGAGCCTTGAGCCAACAAATACGACTGTCATTATCTCTATACCATGTCATAAACTGACCATCGTTCCGCTTTTTCAAATCATTCCCAGTGTTTGAAAGTGATGCACGCGCCGATAATCGGAAACAGACATTAAAAGAATGATTAGCGATTGGGTAGAGCTGGAAAGGTAGACATAAGGCAGAGCTAGTTAGAGAATGCTGGTCAGCGACATATGCTTCATTAGGGGTAACAGATGTAAGTAAGTAAGATTGGTTTCATTTGAAAAGGTTAGAACTGTACAAACTCAACTCAGTTACACGAACCTTTTGAATGCCAAGAGCTCATCACATAGAGTGAGTGCCTGCATACTTTCCTGCCAGTCTTGTATAAGTACTTTTTATTTGGAAGGTGCAGATAGCATGCCATACCTACGGAAAATGATCACTAACTAACTAAGTATAGACTGCACTGCCTAAGTATCGTTACGGAGTAAGACAATTTCATTTACATACTGATCACCAAAATGTCTTCCTCCAGGTGAAATACATACACTACCACTTACTTCCATCAGAACTATTTCAAGAATATCATTGGTAGCAGAGTGAAAGAGGAATGGTGAGATTGGATAACCGTGCCTGAAATAGAATAGTGCAGAGAGATAGTTGTTTTTCAACACTTTGGTTGATATGTTTGTGTACGGAGCCTTCAAGCTGTCAGGAAACTGTCAAGTTATGCCTTTCTTGAACAAGGAATCTCAGAGCACAGTCTTGTTCAACGAATAGAGGGCCGAAGCTTCACTTACACTAGAAATCTTTCAGCTAGTGACTCAGTGAGTTAAAATAGCCTCAGGTTCTTATTTCCCTAGGTAAACTGCACATGATTGAAGAAAAGTAAAACTTATTTTTCACCAGACTCTTAGTTAACCGGTTTGTTAACTTTACGGCTACATCACTTAGATTTGTGTTTACAACAGAAGCTGCAGCCAATTTACTTACACCAAGCCGTTTAGGTCGATAGATTTTTCATCTGAAACACAAGATTGACGCAGGCGAGGGAATAACACGAGTTCAAACAAAGACTCCAAAATGAACGGCACTCTTCTGTACAACTACTCCAGCAGTAGCTAGTTGCTGTGATCAATCTGAGTCCAGATGTGCGATACAGTGGTAGCACGCCGGGTAGCTAGTGCTAGCCAGATGTAGACTGTTGTCTGCACAGAGCTGTAGGAGAAAGTTACCGTTATCTGACTTCCAACTAATGAATGTTTATTTACCGCCACCGGACTAAGTTTTTTGTGTGCCTAGATTCTCGGCTCGCTCATTCAAATCTCTGACTAGCATTTAAATATTTATCAAATACGCCTTCTTGATATCATTCATCACCGGGATACTGGCACAGCAAAACTGAATGGAGATGCTCGGATAAATGCAAATGAAACAAGTTTTTCGAAACAATAGATGGAGAGAATATGTAGCACATCATTAGAGTCTGGAGTACGGTTCCCGGATGTTAAGACTTCAAAATCAATCAAACCTATGTGTTGTCCCATCTGTATTAGTGTGCGGACGTTGAATAAGACCGGTTTGAATGGCACATGTTGTTTCAAGAAAGCTGGTTTATTATCTGTATTCAGTGTTTCTATTTTAGCTTTCAACCAGCCAGTGACTTGAGGAGGACAAAAACTTCCATCATAGACAAGCTACCATGTGAACTGGAAAGCGAAGGTAATCATGTATTAAAAATGAAAATAAATGGAAAGATAAAAATCCTCATAATTATGTGTGGGCTAAGACTCTACCCAGGTGCTCAGCTCGAAGCAGCTGGTTTCTTTGAGCATATAACCTAGAGCTCTAATCCACAAGGCAGTGGAGCGACATCAGAAGAGTAGGTTCCTATATTATTCGATTCCTCAGGATATTGGAGCTAATGTGCTTCATTGGTTTTCCAACTTCCCTAGATGTATGCCCTTCGTATCCGCCAGCCTGGTTTAGTTGCTAAACAATAGCTTTCTATTCTTTCATTTCTGTGGGGCTGTCCCTGTCAGGAGAATGCGATGAGTACGAGTTTCCTGATATTGGATATAAATTCATAACCGTCTGAGAACATTTTGAGTGGAAAGGTAGACTCCCTAACATTGACCTGACTAGGAAATTCGGGATCCGCAACGTCAGTATAGTCTTCTGTTATTAAATTTAAACGAAGGCGTTTATGAACTATAAGTTTCATGATGATATTCAAATTTGTGAAAAAATTCCTACTTTTCAGTCATCCATAAAAAACGCTAACATTTTTGCCTAACTTTTGTGATTTGGAAAATTTGAATAAGCGTTTCGTAGACTCCGATCCCATTTACCGGAGATTTACAGCTGCTGGATAAACGAACTAGTTGCTCATTTTGTTTCTTGATGTTTCTTGGTGCTAGCAATCATATAATGTCATCATTATTAAAAATCAAGGGTTTTGTATGTACTTAGTTTTTGCATTTCCATTAAAATTACTACTTTAAACTTTATTAGTTCACTCTTGTGTTTCAGCTTTACACTTAGAATCAACAAGCAATTAGTTAAGATTCCTTTCCAACTATCAGAACTTTTTCTATAAATTCTTACAAGATTTACATGTTTTAAATTATTTATAATTTTAGAATCACTATCAGCCCGTGATTGTCATGATCTAGGTCGACAAGTTCATCGATATGGTGCAATTCGACCTGCTGGAGCATTTTTTGAACGAGGAGGTGCACGTCGTTTATATCCGACTATATCACATGCTGTCTTTTATGACCAAACTCATGACAATCCAAGCGTATTGGAAAAGCATTCTGTTTTCAATTATCTACCTTTATCTGCAGTTGGATCGTTTGCTTGTTGTGCAATCGGTAGTACACGTGGTTATGATGAATTAGTGCCACACTATATAGATGTAGTTAAAGAGGAACGTTTCTATGCACAATGGCCTAATCAAGTCAATTATGATATTGGTATAATTAAACCAAAATCTATTTTAAATGAATTGCATAGTTGGTTATCATCTGAAGGATTTTCTGAAACATTTGTAGACCAAGTATGTAATTTATTGCCCTTACGATTTATTTTATCTCTTTTGAAATGTGAATACTTATTTCAATATGCATCAACTATGCAGCGTTTTTTTTAGTTATGACAAATTTTAACTGATTGGTTCATTTGGATATCATAAATACTTGCATTTGAAATATTGGAGCTTAGTGGTTACAGTACTCAACCTCTAAAAATTCACTCTATTCGCGAGTTCGTTTTAGGAAACTTGAATGTTATCAGTGCGTCTCATACAAAGGTGTGTGACTCAAAAATGAGTACGTGAATCGGTATTCCTAAAGTAAGTTGTATTACTATTTAGTAAAGGGGATTCATGGTGGTTTAATTCCATAATACAAATTATAGAGGGACCTTAGTTAGATAACCATTGGAACTACGAGGTACTAGGCCGCTGTTTTGTCCTTATATGGCACTCAAAGGTGGTTTCGTACTAGCACAAATTGATTGAAGTCGGAAATATGACCCATTGGATGCCGGCGTAGAAATACCGAGGTTTGTTGCTCACCGTGAGACCTGAAGGTCATAGGTAGGAACCATACTAAGTTGAAACAGCGCGACCGGCCTCCAGCAGTTGCCCTTGGGCTTTGAGGTCACGCTCCCAGGTTCTAAGACCAACGCTAATCCAACTTCTTTTTCAGGGTACTCAACAAACACCCTTCCTTGGTGTGGGCAACCGAGAAATGAAAACCGTCCTCATATGTGTAACAGCACACGAGATCCAGTCGGTCACAATCATATCCTTCCTTTACCTCCTAATAACACTCTTACCTTCACAACAACTGTTCTTTCATTCTTTTTCAGCCTCGCGCCGCTGTTGCTAACGATATAAGTTGACGAAACGTTTTTTCTGGTCTCCTGAAACGCTGCTCTAAATTACATGTTGAAAGATGAGTTTTATAGAAAGCTTTCGGACCTCCTCCAAAATGTTTGGCCCTCTGATATAGTAATAATGGATGGTGACCTTAATGCTCAAGTAGGTAGACTAAGTGAAGAGGAAAGACACCTGGGTGGATCTTATGGTGTCGCGGCTCGAAGAACAGATAATGGCGACCGTCTGTTGCAACTGTGCTCAGATAACCGCCTATTTCTAGCAAACACTAACTTTAGGCATAATGAAAAGCATCTTTTGACCTCGCGACTTCCAAAGTCTTCCCAACGCTGGACCCAAATAGATCACATTGCTATCAGCCACCGATGGAGAGGTTCGATAGAGGACTTTCGTTCGTTCTGGGGCATATGTCTAGATTCAGATCATGCCCTAGTGCGAGACTTACTGGACGTAGAAAAGACACCGCAAGTAAACCACTTAGGGTTTTTCTTAGTGATAGCATAGCTAAGAATATATTTCAGGAGCAACTAGAAAAAGTTAGGCGGCCACGTAAGTGATTCCTACCCTGAGGCAGCTTGGAATGATATCCAAAAAGCTGTGAAGACAGCAGTGATATCCGCTAATAAGGTAAACCATAAGGATAGGGAGAAGCCGTGAATCTCAGTGACATCTGCTGAACTAATAAAAGCTCGGAAACTCATCCTGTTTGGCTCCGAATGTGATGAAGAACGGAGTGAGCTCACGCGCATGCTTGTAAAATGCGTGCGCAATTATTACGAACAGTGGTGGGTGGAGAAAGCAACAGCGATATAAAAGGCAGCGATGATAGGTAATAGTAAACAACTGTTCGGATTTATCAAGTAAACTGGTATTAGGGATCTGATTGTTAGTGAGACTACCTCGGAAAGAATGGGCTTATTATTCGTTCTCAATCAAGGATATTGGATCGATGGGTAGAGCACTTCAGGCATCACAGTTCAACTGGCCTTCAGCCACACATCGGTTGACCACGATCTCTAGTCAACCTGAATGGCAAATCAATGTAAGTCGTCCGACTCTTTATGAATTTGAGAAAGCTATAGGAAATCTGAGACGAGGGAGAGAAGCGGGTCCTGATACATTGACCGTCGAGATTTTTAAGGATGTTGATCGAGTTTTAGCAGTCAGATTGACTTAAACTGGGCATAATCTCAACTGACTGGTCTCAATCCCTGATTGTCCCAATTTATATGAGATGACGAAATTCCTGTTGTGACCATCACTGAGGGATCAGTTTAACTAATACAGCGTCTAAATTGTTAGCCTCGATAAGTGGAGCTTGCGAAGAGCAGACTCGAGGAAACCACGCTGGTTTTGAACCTGGACGTGGATGTATAAACCAAATTTTCACTCTTCGTCAGCTCTTGGAAGATAGACACACATTTTGGCGACGACAACAGTTTTATTCCTTGACCTTGAAAAGTGTACCAGAAAATTAAGTCGAGCTTATACTGGCTCACTACGCAAATAACACCGGTAGAACGAGAGCTTATAGCGAACGGTCATCGGAATTGCTTACTTCAAGTGGTATTCATCAGAACTGCCCACTTTCTCCATTCTAGTTTAACTTTGTCATTGATGTGCTTTTGCATGTGACACTTTCCTCGTCTGACTTTTGACGAGTTGAGCTTATACCGGGAGATTCGCTTGTTGACTTAGAATATGACATAGTTCTACTACTATGTGTGTTGCCCGACCGAAGCTGCTACCTTGACGTGGTGGTCGGGCTTGCCTATCGTGATGACCCAACCGAGCTATACTGGCTGGAACACATGTTCCTGCAGGTCCTACCTGCCAGGCAGGTCGATTGGAGAACGATGAGACTAAAAGCAGCTACCCAAGGTCTGAGGGCGAAGTCGTACTGCTGACTGCAGAGGGGTGTGACAGCAGTAAGGTGTTTCCCTCGGACAACCAGCATCTGCAGCGATGCTGCCTTCTCACAAGGAAGGAAGGGTTAGAAAAGGTCGGCCCTAAAAATGTCACACCTCCCCTAACTCACGGATTTCCGTCTCCTTGGGTAAGGGTGCCCACTAAGGGCCTTTAAGAACGGAGCTAATCCTCTAAATACCTCTCATAAAAAGGCCGTGCGTGACCGGCCTCAAGTAGTTGTCCCTTGGACTCTGCGGTCACGCACCAACACTAATCCATCTTCCTTTTCAGGTTCGTCAAGAAACAACCTTCCACGGTGTGGGCTGCCGGGAAGTGATAACCGCCCTCAAACCCGCAACAGCACACGAGACCAAATTTGTCAAAATCAAATCCTTCCTACATACCCTAATACCTCTCTTATCTCCACAACTAACTCTTCTCACATTCATTTATTACAGTGCACAGCTAATGCAAACGATGCGAGTTTGCGAAACGTCGTTCCTGGTCTCCTTAAACCCCGTTCCAAACTACATGTTGGAGCATTCAATGTACGGACATTGTGTCAAATAGGGCAACAGGCATCATTAGCTAGGACTTTAGAATCTCGTGCCATCGATGTATGCTGCGTCTCGGAAACACGCATACAGGATCCGAGTAGCATCACTCATTTGACTTCACCATGTCAAGATAAAGAAGCAGCTCGATTTACCCTTCGTGTATCCGGTAGCCCTGATGCTGCTTCTAGGGGCCTCGCCGGTGTAGGTATAGCATTGAGTCGTAGGGCAGAACAATCTCTCCTTGACTGGATCCCTGTAGATAGTCGCTTGTGCGCTGTCCGACTAAACGGGACAGTAAGGACTCGGAAAGATAGGGACACTCGCCGTTGCCTGTTCGTCATATCAGCCTACGCCCCCACTGACTGCAGCCCAGATGATGTAAAAGATGAGTTTTACAGAATGTTTTCGGACCTCCTCCAAAAAGTTAAGCGTTCTGATATAGTTATAATGGCTGGTGACTTCAATGCACAAGTAGGTAGACTAAGTGAAAATGAAAGACACCTAGGTGGATGTTATGGTGTCGCGGCTCAAAGAACAGACAATGGCGACCGTCTGTTGCAACTGTGCTCAGATAACCGCCTATTTCTAGCAAACACTAATTTTAAGCATAAGGAAAAACACCTTTTGACCTGGCGACCCCCGAAGTCGTCTCAACGTTGGACACAACTAGATCATATCGCCATCAGCCACCGATGGAGGGGTTCGATAGAGGACTGTCGCTCGTTCTGGGGCACATGTTTAGATTCAGATCATGCCCTAGTGCGAGCACGTATTTGTTTGAGGCTTACTGGACGTAGGAAAGACACCGTAAGGAAGCCTCTTAGGGCTTTACTTGATGATAATCAAGCTAAGAAAATATTTCAGGAGGAACTAGAAAAACAGTTAGGCGGCCATACAAGTGATTCCCATCCTGAAGCAGGTTGGAATCATATCAAGAAGGCTGTGGAAACAGCAATGGTATCTGCTAGCAAGGTAAACCACAATGCTAGGATGAAGCAGTGGATTTCAGTCGCATCCACCGAACTGATGGATGCTCGAAAACGCATCCCACCTGACTCTGAACATGATGAAGAGCGTAGTCAGCTTAGGTGCAGACTTATAAAAAGCCTACGTAACGACCGTGAACAGTGGTGGGTGGCGAAAGCAAAAGCGATGGAAAAGGCAGCGGCGTTAGGCAACACTAGACAACTTTTCCGCCTTATCAAAGAAGCCGGTATTAGGAACCCGAATGTAAGTGAGACTATCTCGGAAAAGGATGGTCTTATTATCCATTCTCAATCTAGGAGGCTGGACCGATGGGCAGAACACTTTAGGGATCAGTTCAACTGGCCTTCAGCCACTCTTCGGTTGCCCACGATCTCCAGTTATCCTGAATGGCAAATCGATTTAAGTCCTCCCAGTTTACATGAAGTTGAGAAAGCTATAGGAAATCTATGGAGAGGTAGAGCGGCAGGTCCCGATAGGCTTACCCCTGAGATGTTTAAGGATGGTGGTCCAGTTTTAACGGTTAGACTGACCGAGATCCTAGGTAGAATCTGGGAAATGGACGTAATCCCATCTGACTGGTCTCAGTCGCTAATTGTCCCAATCTACAAGAAAGGACAGAAGTCCTCTTGTGATAATCACAGGGGAATAAGTTTAACTAATATAGTTTCTAAATTGTTAGCCTCGATTATACTTAGACGTCTAACTAGAGCTCGCGAAGAGCAGACTCGGGAAAACCAGGCTGGTTTTCGACCTGGACGTGGTTGTATAGACCACATCTTCACACTACGACAGGTCCTGGAACACAGACACACATTTAGGCGTCCGACAATGGTCGTGTTCCTGGACCTTAAGGCGGCATTCGACTCAGTGGATCGTGAGGTTCTGTGGCAGTGTCTGTCATTGAAAGGTGTACCAAAGAAGTACTTTAACCTTATACAAGCTCTCTACTCTAATACTACTGGTCGGGTGAGAGCATATGGCGAACTGTCATCTGAATTCTCGACATCAAGTGGTGTCCGTCAGGGCTGTCCACTCTCTCCATTCTTGTTCAACTCTGTCGTAGACATCCTCTTAGAGTTAACATTAAGCTCGTCAGATTTTTCAGGGGTTGACCTTCTACCAGGAAAGTCGCTTAATGATCTAGAATATGCCGATGACATAGTTCTATTCGGTGAAGACGCTGACAAAATGCAGAGTCTTCTGACTACCACAAGCAACAATGCAAGCATGTTCGGGATGCGGTTTTCCCCCTCGAAATGCAAAATGTTGCTTCAAGACTGGGTTGCTTCGGCACCTGAACTAGTGATAGGGAGTGAAGTAGTCGAGCGTGTTGATCACTTCACTTATCTGGGGAGTCTCATCAGTGCTGACGGTCTGGTGACTGATACAGAAATCTCGATTGGCTTTTGCCAACCTGCGTCACTTATGGCGTAGGCGTGATATCCGTTCGCTAACCAAAGGGCGGGTGTACTGCGCAGCAGTTCGTTCCGTTCTCTTATATGGCTGTGAAACATGGCCGTTAAGAGTAGAAGATGTTCGTAGGTTACTAGTATTCGATCATAGATGTTTAAGAAGCATTGCTCGTATATCGTGGGACACCCGAGTAAGCAATGCTGTTGTTAGGAAGCGAGTACTAGGTAAGGATGGCAGATCAATAGATGAAGTGGTGAAACTTCATCAGTTGAGGTGGTTGGGACATGTGTTACGTATGGCTAACCACCGACTGCCTCGACGAGCTATGTTTTGCGGTGTAGGAGTAGGTTGGAAGAAAGCTAGGGGCGGCCAGACCAAAACATGGAAGAAATCCATGAAGTCACTGACAAGTGGACTGAGTCATGTTGGTAGATGTAGACTACCTGGTTGGGGTCCGCGAGACGAAAGTCATCAATGGTTAGAGACCTTGAACGACATGGCTCAAAATCGTTTGCAATGGCGCAGGTGCATCCACTCTTTTAGCTCTCTCAAATCCTAATCTTCTGGATTCGTCAGCACTTCTACCTTTGTCTTTCTAACCTTATCTCACTGAGTTATATTTTTTGAATAATATCTTAAACCCTAGTCTTCTTTATTATAACATTAATACCTCTACTATCTTTATCACTATGGGATTTGATTTGACATTTGCGTCTCTGTGCTAATAATGTGGTATGGCAACATGAACTTATGTACATACGTACGAAGTTCTACGTTGCAACTGACTGACTGACTATGTGTGTTGAATTGTCAATTTCACCTCCGTGCTAATGTGGTATGTCAACTTGAAGTGATGTACATATGTACGAAGTTTTTTGTTGTATCTGGCTGACTGATCGATGAGTGCCTGCATCAGATTTGGAGAACGTAATCGGAAAAGGACAGAATAATGCAGTTTTCTTAAATCAGTAGGAGTGGTAGATAACCAACAACTTATTGAAATTGGTTAGGGTTCAATTCGCTTGTTGTTTGTTCTCTCACAAGCCCATTAGTCTATCATCATTCTATCAAATAATCACTATAAAGTTTGTTTATAGGGTTACTGATATGACACACAAGGCTATTCTACTACTTTGTCGTTTAAAGTTTATTTACGGACAGAAAAAAGCAGATTACTGCCCGGGAAGAAATCAGGAACAAGCGCTGGAGTTGGATAGTACACACATTGGGTAAAGCACCCAACTGAGTCACTAGACAAGCTTTTACTTGGAATCATCATGGCTAATAGAAAGGAGGAAGACCAAGGAAGATGCCGAGAAACGGAGACAGACATGAGAAGATTGAACAACAGTTTGATAGAATTAGAAAGGAAGGCCTAGGACTGAGTAAGTTGTGGAATGCTGGTCAACGGCCTATGCGCCGTCGGCGGTAACAGGCATACGTAAGTATGGTCAAGGCTCGTTCCTGATGTTTCGATATTCCTTCATAATGGTAGCCTTTTGTTGTTCTTACGTACATGTTGTAATACGGGTAACGTGACAGACGCACGAAATGTGGAATAAATTGAAACACTCAGTATCTACCATTTAAAAAATTAGTAAACTCCTGCTTATCCCGATTAAATACCATCACATGCAGCGTAATGTTGTCTTGTAATGATATAATTTTTACCATCACAAAAATTTTATCGCAGTTCAGTATAATTTATTATTGCATTCAATACTACCAAAATGTCTTTTTTGTAGAAATATTTTTGTTTCTGATATAGACATTTGATTGTTAATAACAGTGGTGAATTTTCCCAAATCGATTAGGAAGTTTGTTAGATATTTTAACTTAATCTACAAACATAATAACAACGTGAACAATCGATCCCACTTTTTTTTTATTATTTATATCTCTTCACTTTTAAAGATTACACCAAATGTATTAAGTGTGACACGCTTTTGTCCAGAAACTCGTGAAGCTGTTTTATTAATAACACATACAGCTTTTTATGATCCTGGACCTAATCCACACCATTCAGATTTTCATCCTATTCGGTTGGGTGGTCGGGTGAATAGATTATTATGTGAAATGCTCTCGACTTTTAAAGGGGATTATCCACCTCAGAAAGATTTCAAAAAGAATCCACAGGTATGAATTATAAATATTACTTTGATTGTTTACCTTTCACTGAAATAATACATAATAATGCAATTCGCTTACCAAATATAAATTTATGTATTCAAGTTTGAGCCAAATTTCATGTGTAAATTCGCCTAGTAGGTTGACTTGGATACTATAATCGAAGTTCATTGCGCTGAATTTGAACCTATGACCGAATAGTTGGTTGTAAACCGAATGTGCTAACTGGTAATTCATCCATCATATTGAATATACGATTAGTAGATTTGTAACGTAATAAAATATTTAGATTTTGTAACTTAGTTATTGAACAAACTGGAATATGATTGACCAATTAAAATAAAGGTTATTTGATTGTCATTACACTGTATACTAGATAACAATAAATGTGTCTGGTCTTTATCGAGGCTGCACTAGTCCTGTTTAGATCGGACTTTTGTTTGTAGCTACAACCCAAAGGGGAGGACTTACAGTGTCTATTTTGTATTCAAACATTAGTTTTTCGTTAATAAATCAATAATCCGTGCGTTTTTTAGTGCTAAATAATAAAATTATAACAGGATAACATTGTATCACATGGAGAGAATTTATGGGACGTATTTTCAGTTAGTTATTAAATTTATTTTGCCGAATTTGTACGAATATTTGACTATTTGGTGTCGAAACTTTCCATTGATTTCAGTAAATAATTAATTATCTAGTGCATAAACTATTTATAATTGTTGTTGATTCTCGAAATGTAAACATTTATTACTGAAAATTTATACCAACCTGTCAAAATAATGAGTTGAAATATAGTTAGCGTACTGAATCCGGTCCATGTATATTCATTCATGTCATAGTGAGTATCACGTTTTTTTACTACAGGTATGTATGAAACTGTTACAACTAGTTTTAACAAGTCATAGTAAGTTTAATGCACATAAGGGATGATGATCTTCAAGTAAACAGTATAAGCGGATGGATAATGTAAATTGAAACGAGACACAAAATGTTAACTCCTGTTAAATTGTTGCTTCTGTATCAGATGTTAAAGTAGGAATTCAGTAATATTATTGAATCTTGATATTTCTTGTATTCAGAAGAACCAAATAGTGTTATAACGTTATCGGTTAATGATTAATGAATGTTTTACTATAGCGATTGAGTAAATGTTACTCACTTGACTAGTACAGGTTTATATGTTGGGTTTTCAACCATATTGTTTTTGTGTAAGCTAGTGCTAATATCTGAATTCCCAAACCGAAGATAGTGGATCCAATTTCGAATTTTCGACCTGTTGGTTGGAAATTGAATCTGTTAACTGATATAGTTAGTTACCTAGTCAAAAATGGTCAAATAAAAAGGCCATTTGATGACCATCAGAACTGTTTTAGAGAACGGGTGCCTATTATTAGCCAAGAACAGGATTCATTTTCTACGGAGATGGTATATATATATATATATATATATATATATATATATATATATATGTATATAGTATTTGTATATACTTTTCTGTAGACAAACAAAATTTCTCTCTCACTCTTGCCTTCTTTCTCAAGTAACCAGTTTAGGTGGTTCACATGTGCTGCGCTAAGATTTTGAGCATCGCTCATCATAACCTTAGTCACTAAGTCAAACATAATTTCTTACGGAACAAACGCTGAACTGACTGATGCATCTGAAGATGGTGAAACGAAGCTGAATGGTTGTCTGAAAAATTTTCATGCACATTGGCCGCGACAACGTATAATTATTCAACAAACAAATTAAAGTCATCAAAACTGTTATTGTCAATAAAAATCATGATACGTAATGTCTATCAAACAAATTAGTGATGCTGGTTATCCACACAATATATTTTCCTAATTATTTAAACAAGCATCAACAGAACTTTTAATCTCTAGGCTGTTAAGTGGTCATATATCTATAATATTTAGTAATCTGTGTAACCTATGGTTGTAATAGTTTTTCTGAGTCTTGACCGGTTTTGTGTGTTTTGAACCATCAATCACCAAACAAATCAAAAAATAAATAACATAGCTAATTCAGATTATTACAATTAATTGTGCTTATAAAACAGTTTATTCTCTCTCCATGTTATTTTCTTTATGATTTAAATGTATACTTAATTGTTTAGAATAGTGAGTAGTTTAATTGTATTTGTATATTCATACTCTTGTTTCGAATGAAAATTTAGAAATCTTCAAATTGTTATCATCATACAACTACATAATTTACAAGATTTTAATAGTAAAACTTTTGAAATTAAGTCACCCATCTCTACTGCTGTCGAATAACTTATATTCGCTCTGTAGCATACAAAGAGGTTGAGACCAGATGGAATATATATATATATATATATCCGGAGAGGACACAGTTTATTTACAAATGTACACATATTCTTCGGATATCCATTTGCAGTAAAAGCAGATTATTGACTGCCTTTTATCACATTCCCTCTGGTCTTCAAAATATTTTAATCGCGCCATGCATTTTGATCTGAAATTCCTCTCTCCGGTAATAACGTCTAGGCGACCCTCCAATGTATACAATTTAAAACAGACTAAAGTATTTACACTGTTTTCTTGTTCAAAGATGATGATCACATATCAGTCCTATTGTAGTTTGATAAACTTTTGTTTCTTGTTCCCTCCTCTTTTCCAGTATATAAATGGTTTAATGTGTATGAATTATTCAATTTTACAAAATGTGCCACCTACTGAAAGTAAAACTTTTCGTGTTGAAAGTTATCCAGATGAACATGGTGTTGTGGTGGATAGTCTTATATTTTATAATTTCCCACCTGGATCAGTCGTAATTGTTTCAATTAAATTAGATGATAGTCAACAGCAAGCTATCGCTGATTTACATAACTTCATGTCACAACAGGTTAGTTTAACTAGTTAATAATAATTTTACTTATGTGTTGGTCAATTTTTCGTATAATCTTATTCATAAAACTTTAAAATTGCTAACTGTTCAATACAGCCGCTAGTAAATAATACTTGAACGACTCTATTAGTCAACTATCTGAGTCTTCTTTTATGTCACCGTTATTGGGTGTTCATGCATCATTTAGGAAAATAAAGCTCATTGTTGAGATATACGACTCTTGTTTAAGGACATATTTGAATATCTGTCCGGTGAATGTTGATTGACAGTCCTATTTTTGTGATGCTTTTTTTATAGTAACAAATCCAGTCTCTCGATTCGATGAATAGGAGGTCATTATGATAACCAACTTCTTATTGTGATACTAGTTGGAGACTTAACAAATTCAGTACTCGTCCTTATAACTGTATTTTATCAATGTCAGTTAAAAAATTACCATTTAAGAGGTACTTTTCGAAAAAACTTGTTAGTTAAAATAATGCAACTTCAATCAATACATTTACAGGGCTTAGATTTAAATTGTTTATAAATCTTAAAACGATTGCATAAATGTCACTAAGCTTAATCACTATCATGATATATATTCAATTGTAAATGTTTGCCAATATTAAATGAGATCATATTTTGAATAATCAAAATTTAGTCAATTTTAAAAGTCTTGAAAACAGTGATTTTTATTGACTATTACTGGAGTGCTGATTGTGTTATCGTATCCAAAGACGAGTAACAACAACAAAATCAAACAACACAATTTCATCTCATATAAAACTGGCATCGTTATGATCAGTTCTAAAGTTTGAATATATTTGGAAATCCTTGAAGTTGATATTGTTTCACAACGGTTGACGATGTTAAAGACAAGTGCAGTTAGTAATCTTAACCATGATGAATATGTGTAGTTTTGATGGAGTTTTGCGGATCAATAAAGCTTCGCAGTTGTTCACGTTGTAAACATATACACGTACTCAGAGCAGAAATTGGACTAATTTTTATACAACCGCAAAACCAAAAGTCAGTAATAATACGTGATTCAGATTTTTTTAGTCCAGCATCGTTGGATAAATGCTAGAGATGGTGGAGAGAATTTGTAGCTTAGGTGGATGATTGTGGTGGTGGTGTTTGGTTCTCAGCTCAGAGAACCGAAAAACTCCACCACGATAAATGCTAGCTACTCAAGAAAAACCTACTACCATTTGAAATTCCTTTGCACTCATCAGTACAAGCATACAGGAACTTAATAAAAAATTTTAGTTGACTTCATTTCTGTGAACTTTTCAAACATTCTGTCTCATGCAACTAGTATGCTAACTACTGTAGCTTGACTAGCTCATGAAAATATAAAGCAATGGAATCATTACCATTGAAATCACAAGGCCGAGGAGTTATACTGTAACCCCGTTGATAGATCGTATCTGATACCTTTTATTTCCAACCACATTGTAATGCATTCATAGTAGATAAATCTGATTTCTAAGTCGTTTTCCAAATAAAACTTTAGGCAATCAGTGCTATGAAACATAGAACCTGGCATATATTTGCACCAGTTCAAGTTTGCCACACAATATCAACTCAGTAAGATGAAATTATCAAGACAAACGAATGAATAGTTGAAGTAGTAACACTAATCTTGATAGTAGAAAACATTATGCATAAAAATTATGCTTTGAGAGGAAAGAATAAATTCGTGAAATAAAGTGTAAGTATATTGAAACAAAGAGTAGAAGGTCTGATTTATTGTGACCGATTTTAAGTCGTATCATTTAACTCCTTCAGCCACCGCTTATTCTGATCATGCTGGCCCCAACTAGTTGGTCTGCAACTATCAACATATTTCAGTTCAAGTGTACACGGAAACTACTGCTTTTTCAAGTTTTTTTTCATTTTTCCGTTTCCTTTACTGTCTCATTTAGATAAACTCAATCACATAACCTATGGAAAGAAAAAACATTTCTAACATAAACACATTCGAAAATGTTGGGAATAGATCGATACAAGCTAAATTCATCTCCTGTACATATATGACAGTAAATCTTATGTACGAATCTCTATTTTCTGACTTTAGAGATTTCTTTCACAAACAGGTACAGTAAATCAATCACTAAGTAGTAGCAGCCCAATCTTTAGTTGTCATTGTATTCTACTCATTATGTAGCTGTGAGGTCAATAAACTAAACGGCTTTATGTCACAAGGTATGTTGTTCGTTTGTTAGATATCTGAAAGAAATCAATTGATTCACAAATAAGTTCAGAGATAATGATGTTCGGAAATTATTTATCAAATTAAATGATATGCATTCTGTTAGAACGAATCGTTATCAAAATTATATAATGGTTTTATTCATTGAAGTCTTAACGTTATGTTACATCATAAAAAAATAATTTGTACAGAACTAAATTTTATAAAAAATGAAATGCAATCTCATAGTAGATTTTGTTACTTTGATAGATAAATCTGAGAGTTAATTTTTCTGCTCGCGATTATTTCATCATGAAAACAATGTAGTTTCATTCAAGATGCTTGTCAACATAAAAATAATCATTTTAATTTACGAAAATATTCTATTCTTACTTGACAACAACAACCATACAAGTTCGCAACGATTCTTTTACCCATTAGTATTTCACCTATGACCTACAGATATTAAATTACAAATTGAAACCAACTTTCGCCTAGATCAGTTGAGTACTATTGTTTAACATTTCATAGTAACTTACTTTCACTTAATCGTTGAACTTATTTGTTTACATCTGTGTTCAGTGATCAGACCCTTAAGTAATATATTTTTAGCAGCTAATATCTTCGATTCGTTTATTTGCAGTTATTATTTATTACAATCATAAATATGATATAAATTGATTTTTTTTCATACACAGTTTGACTGTCGTTTGTATGAACCTCGAACAAGTCAAGCTATGGGTAAAGGTGAAAATGCCTATGTTCCTTTAAGTTTACCATCTGGAAACAATTCATTGCTAAAACCGAATTCAGTCAGAGTTCTTTTAGGAAATATGAATTTATTGGAACTAAACAAGTTACTCTTCAGATGTTCTACTGAAGAATTGGCAGATGGATGTAATATTAATTCGTATCAAATACCTGATTGGGGTTGGCTGGTTTATTGTGGATTTCAAGTAAGTGCTTTATATTTTGGCTCAACTACTTTGTGATCTATTGTGTTTTTTTCAACTTCCAGTAGGTCGAATGTTTGAGCTCCTATCTATCTACGTATATCCTGACCTGCATGTAGTTATAACTAGACCTGAAACAAACAGCGTGTTTGAAGTTAGACATGTAAACTACTGAATGCCAACCTGGTGGTCTAAAGGTTTGGTGTACACTGCGAAGAGATCTCACACGATAACGAAGCGTTTTTGCAGTACTTCCTGGTTTCTAGTGACCATTTAACTAAGATCTTATTTGATTTTAAGGAAATTATGTAGTTTACTTTGACATCAGATCAAGTAGACAAATCTTCTTTGTATTCCATAATTATCTGTATAACATTTAAAATCTGCCACTTTACCGTCGAATAATTCAAAAGTGTATGATGTGCTAAGGGTCATGGATGGATTCCAATGGTAATCGCCGTCCAGATTTACTAAAATAAAAAACTGAAAATATCCAAATGATCCTCTCAGGATGTGCATACGTTAAGAAGTGAACTGATCAGTTATAGTCCTTATTGTCAACGGGAAGTTACAAAGTAAACAAATGGTAGAAGTGATAGCTATGATAATACTTTGTTAATTTTAAAGATAATTTATGACACTAAACTCAGATCAGATTAGTGTGTCATCCCTGGATCGCTAGATTTTTAGATTCAGTAGTTTATGTTTTCAACTGTCATTTCACGATTTTGCATAGTCGTCATTTATAGCTGTTTGATGTATCTGTCTCAATTGCCACATAGTTTAACTCCACCAGTCACTAATTTTACATAATGAAGTGATCTTAGCTAGGCAACCACTGAAAACCAGGAATTACTGGATAGCTGTATCGTCTCGGTATGTAACTTCTCGACAAGGAGCATCGGTGACCGCATTGAAGATCAGGACCAGCACCGTCAAACTCACGCGAAAACTCTACAATCTCCGTAAACCGCTCCAAGTGTTGTGGGGAGCGTTCAAACTTTAGATCACTGAGCTGGAATCCAGTGGCTTACTTGTCTTACTGCGCAATCATCCTTCAATATTATCGGTCAATAACTGTCTCACCTGAGATAATTGGGCTCTACCGGTCATGCCTTTTCACTAGAAGTCGAGGAATTACCACTTGCACTTAGTCACTAGCGAACACATGATAATTATAACTAAAGGGATTTATAGAGATAGTTTTGTTTTTAAGACTTATTTCTAAAATCTCCCTGTTACATTGTCCACCTATTTTTATCATAATTTGCACTAGTCTGTTTTACGTTTGATTTGAATTATTCGATTAAATATGCTAAGAATTATTTCAAGACCATTCTCACAAACTAGCGTTAAGGCTTATTTATAAGTAGTAAAATGGTTTTATCCTCCGTAGTGTCATAGGAATTGCATCTATGTTGTTCGATTCGTTTAAAGTTGTGTAATGGGCTAAGGTAAAATATATTCGTAAGTTAATTGTTTTTCCTTATTTTTATTCTGAACAGTTCAGCATAGTTCAGCATAGAAGCTGTTGGTCGTAATCACTGAACATCAAGAAATCTTGTTAGTAGGTCAGAAACTTTCTACTCCTCAATTATTATATACTATGATTGTTGACTTGAATTTTATTTCTTCAACAGGTATGTATTAACCTTCATACTGTATTATGAATCCGTCAGTATTTCATTATCTGACTTAACTAACTGAAGTCCTCTTAGGATCTTAAGTGACTAGCATCGTAACCACAGGGATTTCATGGTTCTTTATTTGCTGTTGAGTTACAGAATGAGCATAAAAACTTGTTTATATGGTAGAAAATATATAACTTACAGAAACTTGTTATAAATCCGGAGTTTAAACTACTCATTACAATTTTGAAACTCTGTAAATCTTAATAGAAAATAATTCATACACTTCTATTATTCTTCATGACTATTCTTTCTCTTTATTACTAAATGTAAATATAAGACGTGTTACATGCAGAATATCAGTCATAGTTTTCTGTAATCAGAATACCTTTTTTTTATAATACAAGTACTGCTATTTCTATATTCTGCACGTAATTTCATGGCACTGGTCCGACCGTAGCTGCTACCTTGACGTGGTGGTCGGGCTTGCCTATCGTAATGACCCAACCGAGCTATACTGACTGGAACATATGTTCTTCAAGGTTCTACCATGCCAGACAGGTCGATTGGAGAACGATGAGACTAAAAGCAGCTACCCAAGGTCTGAGGGCGAAGTCGTACTGCTGACTGCAGAGGGGTGTGACAGCAGTAAGGTGTTTCCCTCGGACAACCAGCATCTGCAGCGATGCTGCCTTCTCACAAGGAAGGAAGGGTTAGAAAAGGTCGGCCCTAAAAATGTCACACCTCCCCTAACTCACGGATTTCCGTCTCCTTGGGTAAGGGTGCCCACTAAGGGCCTTTAAGAACGGAGCTAATCCTCTAAATACCTCTCATAAAAAGGCCGTGCGTGACCGGCCTGAAGCAGTTGTCCCTTGGGCACTGCGGTCACGCACCAACACTAATCTATCTTCCTTTTCAGGTCCCTCAAGAAACAACCTTCCACGGTGTAGGCAGCCGGAAAGTGACAACCTCCCTCATACCCGTAACAGCACGCGAGACCAAATTGGTCAAAATCAAATCCTTCCTAAAGCCCCTAGTACCTCTCTTATCTCCACGACTAACTCTTCTCACATTCATTCATCACAATGCACAGCTAATGCAGACGATACGAGTTCGCGAAACGTCGTTCCTGGTCTCCTTAAACCTCGCTCTAGACTACACGTTGGAGCATTTAATGTACGGACATTGTGTCAAATAGGGCAACAGGCTTCCTTAGCTAGGACTTTAGAAACTCGTGCCATCGATGTATGCTGCGTCTCGGAAACGCGCATACAGGATTCTAGTAAAATTATTAATCTGATTTCACCTTGTCAAAAAGAAGCAGCTCGATTTACTCTTCGTGTATCCGGTATCCCTGGTGCTGCTTCCCGGGGTCTTGCTGGCGTAGGCATAGCATTGAGTCGTAGGGCAGAACAATCTCTCCTTGACTGGATCCCAATAGATAGTCGATTGTGCGCTGTCCGACTAAACGGGACAGTAAGGACTTGGAAAGATAGGGACACTCGCCGTTGCCTCTTCATCGTATCTGCCTATGCCCCCAATGACTGCAGTTCAGACGAGGTGAAAGATGAGTTTTACAGAAAGCTCTCGGACCTCCTCCAAAAAGCTAGGCGCTCTGATATAGTAATAATGGCTTGTGACTTTAAAGCTCAAGTAGGTAGACTAAGTGAGCAGGAGAGACACCTTGGTGGATGTTATGGTGTCGCGGCTCAGAGAACAGACAATGGTGACCTTCTGTTGCAAGCATGCTCAGACAACCGCCTATTCTTAGCAAACACTAACATTAGGCATAAGGAAAAGCATCTGTTGACCTGGCGACCTCCAAAGTCGTTTCAACGTTGGACTCAACTAGATCACATCGCCATCAGCCACCGATGGAGGGGTTCGATAGAGGACTGTCGCTCGTTCTGGAGCACATGTCTAGATTCAGATCATGCCCTAGTGCGAGCGCGTATTTGTTTGAAGCTTACTGGGCGTAGGAAAGACACCGTAAGAAAGCCTCTTATGGTTTTACTTAATGATAATAAGGCGAAAAACATATTTCAGGAACAACCAGAAAGACAGTTAGGCGACCATTTAAGCGAATCCCATCCGGAAGCAGGATGGAATGATATCAAAAAGGCTGTGGAAACAGCAGTGATATCTGCTAGTAAGGTTGACCATAAGGCTAGAATAAAACCGTGGATCTCAGCAGCATCCACCGATCTTATGGATGCCCGAAAACTCATCCCACCTGGCTCTGAACATGATGAAGAACGAAGTCAACTTAGGCGCAGACTTATAAAAAGCCTACGTAATGATCGCGAACAGTGGTGGGTGGCGAAAGCAAAAGCGATGGAAAAGGCAGCGGCGATAGGCAACAGTAGACAACTTTTCCAACTTATCAAGGAAACTGGTATTAGGAATCCTAGTGTAAGTGAGACTATCTCAGAAAATGACGGGACTATTATTTATTCTCAATCCAGGAGACTGGATCGATGGGCAGAACACTTTAGGGATCAGTTCAACTGGCCTCGAGCCACTCTTCAGTTACCCACGATCTCCAGTCATCCTGAATGGCAAATCGACGTAAGTCCCCCTAGTCTTAATGAAGTTGAAAAAGCGTTAGGAAATCTGAAGCGAGGACGAGCTGCAGGTCCTGATAGACTGACCCCTGAGATATTTAAGGATGGTGGTCCAGTTTTAGCAGCTAGGTTGACTGAGATCTTAGGTAGAATCTGGGAACTGGACGTAATCCCATCCGACTGGTCCCAATCACTGATTGTCCCAATCTATAAGAAAGGACAGAAGTCTTCTTGTGACAATCACAGAGGAATAAGTCTAACTAATATAGTATCTAAAATATTGGACTCAATAATACTTCGACGCTTAACGAAAGCTCGTGAAGAACAGACTCGAGAAAACCAGGCTGGTTTTCGACCTAGACGTGGCTGTATAGACCACATTTTCACACTCAGACAGGTCCTGGAACATAGACATCCATTTAGGCGTCCTACAATAGTTGTTTTCCTGGACCTAAAAGCGGCATTTGACTCTTTTGATTGTGAGGTTCTGTGGCAGTGTCTGTCATTGAAAGGTGTACGAGAGAAGTACATTAACCTCATACAAGCTCTCTACTCGAACACCACTGGTCGAGTGAGAGCTTATGGCGAACTGTCACCGGAATTCTTTACTTCAAGTGGTGTCCGTCAGGGATGTCCACTTTCTCCATTCTTGTTTAATTTTATCATAGACATGCTCCTAGAAATAACCTTATCCTCGTCTGAATTATCAGGAGTAGACCTTTTACCAGGTAGCTCGCTTATCGACTTAGAATATGCCGATGACATTGTCCTACTTGGTGAAGACGCTGACAAAGTGTAGAGTCTTCTGACT